CACTTTGAAAAGAGGCAACAGGTATGTGGAAGCGTGAGTAGAGCTGCATGCCAACGAACAATCAGCCTTTTCACTGTGTAATTCAAAGTGTGCAGAGCACGCAGGGCCTAAAACCGAGAATTTGCGGTTTGGCAGGTGGCCTTCATGACCAAGCGAGGCTGGAATTCTTTGAGTCAGCTTTCGGGAAGAAATTCCCATCATCAAGGGGTTAATGTACTCAGTAAATGCTAGTTTGAGAGTATGGTATGCAATGGTTCAAATGAAACTTTGCGTATACTTTAGCTTCAGTCATTTTCTAATATGTTATTCCACATTGCCATCCACAGATCACATGGTCCCCATATTTTAAATTGTTTCCATGCATCAACATGCAGATCGTAAATAAACAACGATTCTTTTTTCTGTTTTCTACCCGTCGCTTCACCCACCCCAGGTCTGACTCTCGCCTTTTCAAGGATGACCACGACATCCGCTTCAGCAAGATACTAAATTCGTGCAAGGTGCCTCAGATCCGCTACGCCACCCTTGAGCGCCTGCTGGAACGGCTGACGGACCTGCGCTTCCTCAGCATCGACTTCCTCAACACGTTCCTGCTGACCTACCGCGTCTTCACCTCCTGGCAGGAGATCTTGGACACACTCAAGCGAGTCTACCGCAACCCGGACACGGTGGAGAGCCTCCTGAAGTAAGTGTTTGCTGGATGGGCTTCCTATGTTTATCGGCATTGGTGCGCTTAACAGCCTTCACTGTTGAATGCTCAGGATGGGTGATCAGACGTCTTACTAATTGCTCCTACTTTGGAGGTGGTGTGCATGGGATCTGTATCAAAATGGCCGACTATGTTAAATAAACAAGCACTTTTTAGCTATGTTCATAGCAGTCACCATGTTCATTTATCCTTCTTTAGACCAATTTTTGTTGTATGCATACATGTACTGTATTATTGAACATTCCCCCAAAATGTTGGGTAACAGTTGGATGGGTCGTGAGAACTCTTTCATTGGGGCTGATACAAATGTTTCAGGATCACCAGCTATTGAACAAAGAAGTCATCAGTACAGTCAATGATATAACAGTACTATATAGAGTTCCATCCTGTTCTTTTTTCCCTGTTCTTCTAATTTTTGGGGGGCTTGGGGTTGAACCCCAAAGTCTCCCATGTCACTGCAGCTAGAGGTTCCATTGGTTCTTTTTTCTGTGTTCTTCCATTTTTGGAGGCTTGGGGGTTGAACCTCAAAGTCTCCCTTGTCACTGCAGCTAGAGGTTCCAGAATACCAAGCCACAAATTTGTTCTCATTCTTCATAAGTTTTTCTTATTCAAAACTGCCATGCGGATTGAATAAACTCAACCAGTTTTTCAGATTTTGTTGAGGTAACTAATTAAAATTTTGTGGATGTGATGCATTGCGCATGAGCTGTTCCTGCGCTGTTCACATGGAAATTGATTAAGCATGATGTAGAAGTTGTCATGTTATTGCTGTATAATGCAATAGGACCAATAGGTACCAATGATGTCACTAGTTATTATTGCTTTTATTATCTTATCATTCTGTCTGACCCAAAACAATAACTGAAGAGGCAACAAATGTTTGAATTACAGTAACTAAAAGTTATTTAGGTGTGGTTGAGCAAATGAGTACTTCCAATTCAGGATTCCTGAAATTGTGCACATTTCTAGTGTGAATCCACCATCCAGTCCTAAACTGATGGACACGAATCATTCGGCCAGTAGCCCCCCACCTGTCAGCCCCAGTGTGGCCCGGTCAACCAGGCACAGCATCACCGTCACCTCGCCGGTCAGTGTTAACCACACCACGGGATCCAACCGGGAGTTCATTGACACCACCACCAACGCCCGCATGCACCCTTTCCGAAGGAGCTTCAAGAAGGGTAGGTTTCAGTGCAAAATGAGACATAGTCTCTCCGCAGCCCTGTGGGATATCTTAAGCAGAGGCAGCCCACATCACTCATGTTCGTGACCACCTCAACCTGCAGTACCTCTTGCTCACGAAAAAAGAAAAAGAGAAAAATGTTTTGGAGAAAAATAGAGAATGGCATAGTTTGTAGACAATTTCAAGCTTGGCCTGCTTTGGCTACAAAAAGAAGGCTGCACAATGCAAGACTTGTTCATTTAGAGGAAATAGCTATGGAGTCATTATATTGGTACATCTAACGTGAGTGTAGACCTACATGGACATGGACATGACGGAACTTATTTAAGGCCCTGCCAGCATGGTTTGTAACGCTCACAGTTATGCATGCACGTTGATTTTTTTTTTCACCACTTCAACTGCATGAACACCCTAGGGAAAACCTTGCATCTAACTGCCAATAGGAGCGACATCAAGTTCTTTGTGCATTTTGTAGTTAGCGTGAGAGCTTTTAGGAGCTCCGTAAGACTTCGAGGTTTTGTCTGTTTGCTTTTAATGCTTGTAAGTTACTGTGTAGTTTTAATGTCCAGATTTTAATTGTGATTTCATACACTGTACCTATTTTTTTTGGAGTTAATGCTTTTCTTGCAAAAATTATTTCTTTTCTTAGAAGGGAGAAGTGGGTAGGCATTTAATTGCGCCTTGAGAAACTCAGCCTGCATCTGAAAAGCACATGATATTCAGTGTCTTTTTCTCTGTAGCATCAGAAAAGTCCAGTCAGGAGAACGAGGCACCAACCACGGACCTGACCACACCCCCTGCCTCCCCACCCTACAGTAATGCCCTGACCCCACCCACCAGTCCGCGCATCATGGACCAGACGAGCGGCGGGCTGTCTCCCAAGCGGATGTTGTCCACCAGCCATTCTGCACCCAACATAGCTGCCCTAGCAAAGGGCATCAAATCAGGTCTGTATAAAGTGTTTTCTTGCTCCATATTGTACTACAGTGGAACGCCGCTATACTGAACACTGCTATACCGAACATTCGGCTGTACCGAACATCATCCTTGGCTCCCAATATTTTGTGCAGGTTACCGAACATTATGCAGTTGCAAATCAACCGAGGTTCACCACAGCATGCATCAGAGATTGATCCTGAGCGGTAGCTTCACGACTTTTAGGATGAACTAAATATCAATTTTATAACTCAGTATTTAATGAAAAAACAAAAATAGTTAACAGATACATTTCTAGAAACCTCAAACGTGAATGCAATAGCAAAACATCACGAAAACAGCAAATCATAGTATCACAAGAGGGTGCACTACAGTTAGACAAGAGAGGGCGCTATTCAATGTGGCAACGAAACGTTTGGCAGTTAGTTTCGGTACACCAAAGGACCACTGTACCAAACATGTAGCGTGCACCCCGTCGTGTTCGTTATAGCGGCATTCCACTGTACGGCTGTAACCATTGAATGGTGGGGTGAAACTATGTTACACGTTACTTTGCCTTACCTTGTGTTAAATAACTCTAGCCAACGGCAGTGGAACGATTTTCAAAGTGGGGGGGGGGGAACAGTTGTGAGACCATCAGGCATCAGCCATTAATAGGCAGATAAGCCCAGCCCTACTGAATTCTGACCAAGCGTTGGCGGCCATCCCCAAGTCGAAAAAGTGATGGGGGCCAAGAGGCCCCTTTCTCTCCCCTCCCTGTTCACTGCCATTGTCTCAGGCAGAACTTTAAAACCACTAGGCAGATTTCTGTCTTTCCAACCATGCAGTTTCCTTCTGCTGCTGGGTTTAGTGTTACTTAATTTTCTCCTGAGAATTCACTGATCCTCGGAGGGGGGGTGGCATACCAAAATTGTTTTTTTCACTTGTTTCTTAAAATGTTACTTAAAACTTTACTGACTCTAGTGCACCACTTCATCCAACATCCACGCCCAGAATTTATACTGGAGCTGGACAACCAAACTGAAATCGCCCTTCCAACAAATTCGAAAGCTGCCGAGCTTTACAGTATTCTTAAGCTTTGCATTCTTGCCACAAATGAGTGTCAGTCATCAGTGGAGAATTATGCAGAGTACCAGTTTGCTTGACATGCCTGTAAAATTTTTGCCTCTGTTGTCTTGGTATCCAGCCGAGGTGCCTGTCCCAACCTCCCCTCGCAGCTCGGTCGGTTCCCATTTCCAGTTCAGTAGCTCCCCGCCACCCAGCAACACGGTGTCAGCCGGTGTGGTGGTCACCTCCTCCCGCCAGTCCACCCGGCGGTCGAGCTCCTCATCAGCCAGCGCAGCCTTCGCTGCGGCCACCGCAGGGTGCAGTAACCCGAAGGACGTGATCATGGAGGACAAGTCCAAGGACAGAAGGAATAGGGCCTTTGGCAGTAAGGGTTTTTTTTGTTTTAAAATGTCATTAATTAAGGGGCTGCCAACTTGTGCTAGATGGCTTATGTGTTTGAGGCCATAATTTTGTTGTTATGCACCAACTAGCATTCTCTCGCAAGTCAGAAATTTTCTGCGTTTTTTGTAACTTTCTTGGTCAGTGGGGAAAGAAACAGCCACTATTCATTAATGACTATTTTCATGTCGGCTTATACCTCCTGGATTTAGCCTTTTTAGCCATTGAAAACACTTATTAGGGCTAATTTGTTGTATGCATACACCTGTAAATGTGTGTATAGAATGAATAACTAGGTGACTGCAGTAAGAAGCTTTAAGTTTGTGTAACTAAACCTTCATTTATTTCACAAAGACCAATATGCAGCAAGCCTAGCTGAAGCACGCTTATCCCCTTCAGAGAGGGTAGCTTAGACCGGTGAAGTAACAATGCAATTCAAAGTCATATTGAAGTGGGGTTTAATTTGGGGGTTTTGTAATATTTGGGAAGAGGAACCTGTCCCCTTTTTAATTCCAAATAATTGGCAGAATCACATATTTAACAATGCCATTTTCCCAGCAATTGTGAAGGTAGCATTATTCGTGCCTGGTCTGATATGTTGAAACAACATCGGGAACAAAGACACAAAGCTGCCAGAATAATGCCACATTGTCACCTTATACCAAGTGTTCCATGTACATGCCATTATAAAGCTCTTTTTCTGCTGAATTCGAAAATACCAATTTCTTAGTTTTTGAAAATTCTGACTTTCAGCTCATTGTGCAGTGACAGGTCACATATTTTTGCCACCCTTAGCACTTCCAGGCCATTGAATAGTGTTCGTGCAGCATTATTATTAGTTACAGTAAGCACTACTGTTGCTCTATGAAATTTGGCCCAGTTTGTACCACTGGCAAATGCTGCTACTGCTAGCACAGTTTCCAGCATCAGCACGACCATGGCATTTGTCAGTCCACGGCATTTGTCAGTCCACGGCAGTTTCGGGAATACACATACATCTGGGACTAATGACCAATCAATCCCCCTTTCCGTCTTGGGCAGGAGGCAAGTTGCAGAGCTGTCTTAGCAAGGAAGTCATCAGTTCTGCTGCCACAGTGAGAGTCATCAACGTCATCCGACACTGGGTCTCTAAATTCAGTCAGGTGAGTCACCACAGACAATTAGGTGGCAGTGAAGCGGTACTGTGTATTTGGCTGTAGTGGTGTCATGAGAATTCATTCATTAAGTACTCCTGGATGTTTCTGGAATACCGTGACGGTCGATGAAAGTGCAGCAATCAATCATTCTGAACATTAGGACCTCAAAGAAAGTATCTCATCTCTTGGTCTTTGCAATGAGGTTTTGCAGCAAGAGTGGCGACACATATAAGCAGTTCATTTTCTTACTTCATGTATTAGTGATTACTGTGCTTCTGTGTCTTGACGTCTCAATGCCCTCATGCACTGATGTCTTGATGCTCGTAGGCCCTGGTCTGGTTGGTCTGAGTTCTTCCTTCCCAGTCCCTTCGTTTTACTTTCATCCCCTGATTTCAAGACATGACAAGTGGTGCATTTTCATTGACTGTCAGTGTGTGTATTTGTGATCGGTCACCACAAAATGAGCTGAAAGTCAAAATTTTCAAAAATTGAGATATTGGTATTTTTGAGTTCAGCAGAAAAAGAGCTTTATAATGGCATGTAAATGGAAACATTTAGGGTAGAAGTACAAGGTGACAATGTGACATTATTCTGGCAGCTTTGCATCTTTGTTCATGACATTTTTTTCAACATTTCAGACAGGCATGCATAGTGCTATTGTCAAAACTGCTGTGAAAATGACATTTTGAACTCTATGATCCCGCAAAATATTTGGAATCAAATAGGAGACGGGTTAGTCTTTCCAAGTATTACAAAATCCTCAAATTAACCTCCACTTCAATATGATTTGGAATCTTCAAAAATAGAAAGAGTTGAATGCGACTTTACGCTCATTTTGTCGTGACGGTCACATTTGTATTTAAGTTCCCAGCTTGTTCATCATGCTGTGAACTGCCCGTCTGTGCACATTTTATTCAAGTCCATCGCAAGCAAAATCATAACTTAGGCCACAGGTAGCAAAAGCAGGAACAGTCATAAAGGAATAGTTGTATGTGTCGCAGCCCAGTACTATGTTTTGCAACGTAAATCCCGGTCACCGGTAATAGTCTTGAGATGGACTCGAGAAAAGTGTTTGAGGATTTGACTGCAACACTGTCAGTTGCTTAACCCCTTCGTGCCAATAATTCCTTTCACCGTGACTGCTGGGCTGTGGTATGCCCTGAATGGAGGACTTTGTCCATCAGCAGGCCCCATTGAACCAGCCGCTGCATGGTGAATAGACTGTATGTGTGGTATGCACTAATCCTCACACAAAGCCGCAGGTCTTGCCGTCTCCCTGAGCGAAGGGGTTAAGAAACTTAAGTAATCATCCTCTGGGAAGTCTTAGAAATAGTAAGTCTTTATGAGACAGGGGTTGAGCAAGAAGATGAAACAAATTGCCTGCACTGTTCGAGATACTGTGCTATTCATTATTACCATGATGAAGCACATGTGACATTTCCAAATCACTTTTGACCTGTCACTGTTATAACTTGGAAAAAGCTTTGGGGCTTATTCCTCATGTCCAGGATTTTGAGTCCAACAGCGAGCTAAGGAATGCAGTAATAGAGTTCTTGGAGGAGATTGCATCCAATACTAACCTCCTACCCACGGAGCACAAAGGAGCAGCCAACATTCTCAGGTTTGAGTTTTTAAAAACAATTCAGTGTTTGTATCAATTAATGCTCATATTTGCATCTTGGTTATTTCTTAATCACTCAGTAATTACTTGTGTAAAAAATAAGATTTTAGATTAGCCGTTATTTCTGATTTGCGGTCATGCATGGATAAACTCATGACACAGAAATATGAAAAACAATCCACAAAGACATCGCTGTGAAGTACACACTAAAGCCAAACCACCTTGCAGCATCAATTATATAGGGAAAGAATTCTCGGAACAGTAACCAGTAAAAAAGTTGGTGTTGAAGTGTTTATTACCCTTGGGCTGTGGGCCTACTGAAATACCTCGCCTGGTTTCCTCATATTGTAGGCAGCTGATGTCTGAAGACTCCACCATCTCTCCAACGATAGAGCAGGTGATTGGTGTCACGCCCAGCCACCCTACCTCATCACATGCCTCGTTTGAAGACCTCTCCGTCTTGGAGCTTGCCGAGCAGCTGACCTTCATTGAACACAAAATCCTCAGGGCCATTCCGCCGTGGTGTGTGTTAATAAAAACAAAAACTTACATGACTTGACACCATTCAAAGGATGGATTTGCAAACCAGCTGACACCGGCAAGCTCGGTGGTCGAGTGGTTAAGATGTCTGCACTAGTAAGCAGGAAGTTGTGGGTTGAATCCCACCCGTGTACGCTAGTGGTTTTTTTCACAAGCCTTCTGGGTTAAACCTGAGTATACAGTGTTAAAATACATGTGGAGCAGGGCAATACTCCATAATTGATTGACACCATTCCTTGGATTCTCTTTGACATATAGTAGGGACATAAGTTGATTGAAACCACCTGTCCTGTCCAGTGCCAGCAATCAAACCTGTTCATGTGGAGAGATGATAACATAGTTTGATTTGGGGCTTTGCAGGGAGTTCTTGAACCAGTGCTGGATGAAGCAGAACAAGGCAATGAAGGCACCTCACATTCTTGATGTCACTAAGAGATTCAACCAGGTAAAGATCTATTTTACCCTATATTGTTGGCGGTGTGTGAGAAGTCTTGTTGTTCCTTTGGCAAGTGAAATATCAAGACAAGTGGTTAGAGAAGACATTTGGGTCTGACCTACAATTTCCTAGCATTTCATCAAATACCACAACGTACATGTATTTGGTGATGTTTGTTAAATGATTCCTTATGACAATTAAACAGATGTGACCACAAGAGCCTTGTCAAATGGTCAGTTTTCTGTCATCGAACAGTTCTTGATCTACAGACTTGATGAAAGGAAGGATTTCTCTGACTTAACAGCTCAGGTAGGAACTGAGAAAAAGGTCTTGACACCTGCCTGGATCGGATTTGAACCTTGGCGAGGAGAGCACCTCCATTTCCACCCAACCTTTCCATCAATCAGGGAATCAGATTCACCAGCTTACCCTCTATCTAGTTATATGAAATTTTGGACACTGTTGTCTCGCCAGGTCAGTAAACTGGTGGCCTCGGAGATCTTACGACAGTCCACGGTGGTTGGGCGGGCAGCAGCCATCGAGAAATGGGCAGCGGTGGCCGATATTTGCCGCTGTATGCACAACTACAACAGCGTGCTTGAGATCACGTCAGCGCTGATGAACAGCTCTGTGTATCGCCTCAAGAAAGTCTGGGACAAGGTGCCGAAACAGGTGCGTCAGCAGACAGTATTTGGCATTTCATAAATAGAACAATAGGGACAGGTTGCCTCTGTGCACTTTCCAATCATATTTCGGGTATTCGTTGTTGTGCTTCACCCTCCAAAACTCTTCCACATTTATTGATAATGCATGTTAACAACTTGCCAACTTTATTACTCCACAACAAACCAGTCCCGATAATGATATCATTTTGGCCAAGAATACCCACTTTTTAAAATAACAAGATACCACAACTTCTGTCCTATACAAAGTTGGACTTTACAAAGGCTGACCCTAAGTGGTCATTTGTTCAACACTTATAAGACGTTTCTCACCACATCGTTGCTTTTGTGAAACTACTTCGCCAAGGGTGCTATGCATGCCTTCGGGTGTTCAAAACATAATATCCCACATCACAGCAGTCAACAATTGTTTTGTCATATCTGTACCTTAATTATGTTGAGGCTGAGAAATTTATCCAAAGAATTTCAGAAGTTCAAAAGATGACCATCAAACTGTATAATTAACATAACTGACATAGAGGATATTGTCTGCGAATGCACTGATCATCCACTTTCTTTAATTGCATAAACTTTAATGTGAAAGTAGTGCGGATACCACCGACTACAAGTTCACATGTCACATAAACAGTGAGTGTGATATGCAGATATATCACCCTGTCATGTAATCGTTCTGAGCCAATGAACAGACAGTATCCAAGACAGAGGTATAACAAAAGATGATGTCACAGAGTGATATTTGCTACAACACCTGGCCATGGTGCACAGCTTGAGGAGGGCTCCACTAGTCTCCACACAAGCTCAACCTTGAGCCTCGCTTGCCTGTGTTACAACTCAGTGAGAATCACTCAAACCTGGGGACGAGCAGACAGTCACCCAGCCCAGCATACAGAATTTGCTAGAATATGTCAAGACACAGGAAACCCCTGCCTATTGACACATCATGCAGTATGAAGTGCTCGAGTCATTTACTTGGAACAAAGCAAGGGTTACAGTAGTCAAAAGATTTTGAGCTCTTGACATCTTCAACCCTAAAAGAGCTGGGCTATTTGAGCCACCTCACAGCAAGGGGGAGGATAGGGAGATTCAACCCCCAATCAGAACTCAGCTTAGCATGTTTGTAAAGACACTTCTTCTTGTGAAGTTTCAACTCAATCTGAAGTATGGTTTTGATGTTATGGTCAAGGTTTTATGTCTGCCAGCCCACGCGCATTGAGCACGGCAGTGGAAAAGTATCGGTTTTGGGGGCTGACCTGTTTCAGAAAAATTGGCATTGTGCGAGATACGCTCGATCTCACAAAATTGGTGTCAAAGTGACCGCACTTCCAAAGACTTACCTCATGAAAAAATGCACTGCAGCGATATCAGAAGAAATCTCATGGCGGAGTGGAATCTGCACCCCCTAGCTGTTTTAGGGATAAATGCTACATGTACTCCATCATCTGAGCTGTCTAACTTTGCACTGATTATCTGCTACCGTGTAAGTTTTGGTTGTGGCTCTTTAACAGTTTGTTTTGTTTTGCTTTGCTTTTATTCTTTCACTCCCTGAAGACGAAAACTATGCTGGAGAAGCTGCAGGTGCTTGTTTCATCCGACGGACGTTTCAAGAACATGCGAGAGGCGCTGCACAGGTAAAGATAAGGTCTTCTCTCAGAGATATTAAATGTTTTGGCAGTGTACATTTGTGTATCCAGGTATTAATGCACAAGCGCTGTCACTCCTACTGTTTGTAATCTTGTGGTTTTCAGGATTGACCCTCCTGCCGTGCCCTACCTTGGCTTCTATTTGACAGACCTGGCCTTCATCGAGGATGGTACTCCCAACGTCACTGATGATGATCTCATTAACTTCTCAAAGATGCGTATGGTAAGTTGGAGCCTGCTCTGTTAATGTGTCCTTGCAGACTTGGTTTTATTTTTAATCTTTATGTGTTTTAGTAATCAGTCTTCTTTGTATTGTTACTTGCGAATTCAAGCATTGTTTTTTCCCATCTTGTCTGATTATTACAGCTTTGGTCCCTTGTGTTTTCACTTAAGGATTAGTTCTCATATGCAATGACCCCCCCCCTTTGTTTTTCTGTTTCAGATTGCTCATGTGATCCGTGAGATACGCCATTTTCAGAAGACATGCTACACCATAGAATTGGACAAAAGGGTACGATTGCTGACATTATTTTGTCGCAGTTGGAAGTCCAGCAAAAATGTACCAGTTAACCGAGCTGTTTGAAATTGGAGCAAAGACCCATTTAATCTGCTCTTTCTCCTTTGTTAAAATTCTGTAACCAGTGTTTGCTTTCAGCTGAGATTAACTGGCTCTTGACAGATTTTCGACACACTTTGATGAACTGGATGTATATCGAAGGTGATACAAGCAGAAATAATGAAAAGAAAATAGAGATTGAAACTCTGCAAACATGAAAGTTTTTGAAGTATAGTTGCTTGAAATTGCAGATAGGATTACATTGACACATTAGAATTCTGCTGCATTAACTCTAGAGGCATTCCAATCCAAGTAAACTTGGATTCTGTAACAGTTTTGGAGCACTTTTTCAATGGCTGTAAAAACTACAAGGTAGCAGCCCGTTACAAGGTTTTATGTTCCATTCGTATTGTGCATTTTCGGCTGTAGGTTGCACTCTACCTGTTGGATAGCACATTGGTCATGGATGACGACGATCTGTACGACTTGTCTCTGGAAATAGAGCCTCGCCAGTCAACCAGAGTGCCTTCAAGTATCTGAGGGGGGGAGCAGATTGATAAGTGAAGTCGTGAAGTTAGTTGAAAGGCACTCCAACCGTGGATAAGGCTCTAATGAGGAAGATCGTGTGCGTGTCACTCGAAGCTGAAGCCTTCTGGTCTGCCGTGATGACTTGTCGGTCTTTGCTATCAGTAGATTGAGAAGATCCGTCAATAGAGATCGAGATGGTGAGGGATGAGGGAATTTGTCATTCCCCTCCGATTGATGGTGAATTTGATGTTGGATTTCCCATGTTGTGAGATTCATTGAGTTGAAGTGGTATAGCAGGTGTGACTAGAACAAGTTTTGTAAGGTAACCAGAAAGAATGTTTAATAAAAGAGTGACTTGGATCAACCTGCAGTGTGGCCTGTTGCTGGTGTTAAGTCAGAAGGATGAGGTACGGTTTGAATCCTCCTGGGTTTAGTTCTAGATGTTGAAATACTGATACTTATCAGTATGGCATTTGAGCCATTCTAAACATGAAGGTTCTAGATCTAGTTGAGTCACCAGTGTTTGGTTTGGGTCCTGTTTCTTTGGGAATTCAGAAACTATGAACCCGATTCAGGTTGTCTGATTCAAAATTTTGCCAGTTCCCATTATTTTTTCATTTTTCGAATCCTTTTAAAAAGTCTTGGCAGTGGCCAAACTTTCACTTCGTTGTTCAGTTCCGAGTCCAGATTCCAGGACAATTTCTGTACAAGGTAATACGGATGTATACACAAAATGTACAATGCAAGAGTGCTTTTTATCCCCGTGGATGATTGCTCTTTAAACGAGAAAGGAAAAAATTAAAGGAGCTCAGCGGATGGTCTTGACGCTTGAATGAGTGATTGGTAGCAAAGTGGAGCACTGAGTCAGTTGGGCAGGCTGCTCAAGAATGGATGTTGTGTGAAACTTCAGTTGGTCTGGAGGTCAGATTGTGAATGAAAAAAATGGTGCAAAGCTCATTTGATGGTGGTGGTTGTTTTTTTTCTTTGAAAGTGCCAATGTAATATTAACATTTCTACCACCCGGCATATTGAATAAGCATTTGATGCTGCAATAATATCTTGTCAAAATTGCACAAGCTTTAAACAGGAAGATGAATTGGACTTTCTGGATATATTTTTCCACGTTTCAAAGGCGCGTTTCTGAGATTTTTGAGCGAGAACAAAGAGAGATTTCAATTTTAATGTTAATGCGTTGTTGTAGGTAGTTGGTGTTGGCCAAGATGACATAAATCAATGCCCGCCCCCAGCTAACTTCAGCTGTATGATATTATGGTCTTTGTGTAAAGTATTGCATTTCTGTAAACTATTCGGTGGTTTGTTTGAGGTATATTTTGTGGCCCGTGAAGGGTGGAGTGATATTTATATGTGTCCTGCAAACACGAGCAGGAGGAACTCTGGATGCTCAAGACGCCTGGAAATTTCTTACTGACAGAGGTCCACTGGTTTTCACGGACAACTTGCATGAGAATGCTGTGGAGATGCACGTACCTCACGAATAGCCAGTGTCTGTAGTGGCGTGGGTTTCAAACATTGTTGGTTTGCTGGTCAAATTTGCATCACTCGATGATAGTTTTCGGTTTGAAATGTCAACAGCGCTGATTCCTGTGTTTTTGCGATTCATGATGGTATGAAGCATGCTCGGGATTTGACTGGCTATAGTGTAAGAAACAGGAGTTTTCCGGGACATTGCCCCCCCCCTCCCCATTTTAAACTCACCAAATTTATTCGTTAAATGCATTAGGCCTTTTTCTGCAAAGCTTCTCACGCTCTAGAAAAAAGAACAATGGTGGCCCAACAGGTTTATATTAAGCTCGGTATTTGTCAAAGTATCTACCGCCTCCACTTCTTGATCTCTGGCCGGAGCAGATCCAGGTTCCTGTCTGAAGTTCATTCCCATTTTGTGTCACAGTTGCAGTTGTATCGATTGCTTACCAGTAGCAGATAAATTATGTTCAAAAGCAAAAGAATAATTCGCAAGGTACTAAAGAGTTGCACACGGCCATAACATGTAAGAAATATTTGTACTACCGAATCATGCAAATACCAATACTGCCCTCTTTAAAAATAAAGAGGGCAGATGTACATTAATAGAGGCGAAACCTCACTCCAACCCAGGGCGATACTTCTCTAAGTTTTTGCCGGCCATGCGGATAGTAGGCAGTTGCAGAGAGACCATTTGTGGTCACCAAACACTGTTCAGCGCCGTCCAACCCACAGTATTAACTAGTTATGAGACTCTTGTTGTAATTGTTGATTAAAAGATGACGTCACACTAGGAACTTGTGTTTGAACAGGGTGCCCAACGGTGCAATATTGCAAAGTTCTGCCATCTCTAAGGTGAGCTAAATACATTTTAATACAGTTGGACGCGAGTCAGGGTGGACCCACCTTGCAATTCTGACTTGCTGGTCAGTGATTCATTGAATGATAGATATCCGTTTTCCTTTTTTCTGGAACTATATTTGTGAGCTTCGACATGAAACCTTGGATGCGAGATAGACATGTTTATGTAAACACGGTTAATACGCATTTGTAAGCATTGGATTTCGGAGGATTTGAGTCTTCTAATTTATTGTGGCTCGAAAACAAAATGGAAAGACTAGACGGGATTGTTGACAAATAGGGTTGAGACATTTCCCAACAATAATTGATCGAACTAAAAATAATAGTACTGATATTTTTCTGCAATGGTCAGCATTATGGACTGGGCCTAAGTATTACACATCTTGTAGTACCCAGCAATGTGCTGTAATATTGGCATGAGCTAAAACCTTTCTCCAGCAAGTTGTGGTTTTATAACAAAGGGCGTGGCAGCTTTTTTTTGGGGGGGAGACGCCTTTTGAACAGAAAAGATAGAGAAAACAATTCCATAGCCCAAAGGTATTGTGAACTAAAGCCCGGCTTAATTCCACACTTATGCATGTACATAACGCAGCAGAAATCTGTTTGAATTTTTCATTCAATGAACTCGTGTGTGAGACTCTGTACGTAACTGAATACCTTTTTTACGATAGGCTATATAGCGCCGATCACGTTACACAAAAAAAGACTACGAGTTTCTATCTTTATTGCATGAAAGAAATCTTGCCAAACGTGAACTCAGTTGGGAGAAATTGATTTCCCAAGTGATTGGAATCTCACTTTTGAAGGGGACCTGCACTTATACTTTTGAGAATAGTGTATTGTGGCTGATTAATGAGAAAATTGTTAATACGACTCAAATTGAGTAGGCCGGTTGAATCTTTGGGATGTCTTGACAGTGCAGTTGAGTGTTAAATTAAGAATTTATATCTTTATGTATGTGTATTGAATTTAGTTGGTTTCGTAACATGTATTGAAAGTGTTAAAAGACACTGAACCGAATGCTTATTATATAAAGAAGCCACTCATACATGAATTTTAAATGTTGCCTTGATGCATATGCACTCAGACTCCGTATAGTGTAATTCGACCGCCAGAATTAGAAGCCATCACTGCGGTGACACAACGCTCGTGGGCAGGTGGTACGCGCGCGTTACATGCCTCTTCGACCAACAGGGTGTCATGATTTGTCAAAATGTACGCGCCCGTCAAGCTGAAGAATGTGCGTGTGAGTGCGGTGCCACCACAGTCATGGCGTCTAATCGGATTAGGCTATACGTGCACTGTTACAAGTATTTTGCAAATAGTAGATTGTAGTTTTGAAAGAAGTAAATTTGCAGACAACTTATTTGCATCGTCTAAGCGCTTACAGTATTCTTTGTTACATTGTCTTTAATTTTTCCTTCTGCGTAATTTTTTTTAATTTTTTTTCCTTCAGCCAATACAATATTACCTTAGAAGTCTAAGCGTGCAATGAAATGTTTTACATTATACATCATTGTACATTTTCCCAAGTTATTTCCCCCCTCTCAAAGCTTCTTTTGTTATATTATTCTGTATAGTTTTTCCTTCTACATTCTATTTCATATTTATGTGACCGGTGCGGGCACTCTTAGTTCTGTATTTATTTTAGGAAATATTTTTGTTATGACGTAAATCAAACAAAATTTTTATATTGAAATTGCATAATCAAGTTTTCTATAATTTAATGACAGATATATGAAATCTTGCACGTGTATATTTCCTCTTGTAAACAATGGTCGTGTACATATTATAGAGTCAATTTCAAAAGTAATATATTTGAATTCGTAAAGGCTACTTCTATTGACGATTTAATCAACGATGTTATGCTTATTTTGAAATAACTTCGGAACATTGTGTAGTGGATTTATCAGGATATTTATGCACATTTTCTCATGTATTGTAAATATGTTAGAGTTCGATGCTTGTGTGAAAAATTGCTTGAAAACGGCTGTTGACTTCGTCGTCCACTTGGACATTTCAGATTGAACCTTTAATCCAAATAATGCTTTATTTTACATTTTGCAATTCCTTAGGAGATAGTTCTCCATTGAGGTGTTTATATTTGTCGACCAGAATGGAATTCATCTTCGGTACACTTTTGTCATCGGTAATTGAATTTGAAAAATAAAAGTTTCTTGCAGCTTTACGGGAAATGGAACTTCATAAGGTTAAGTGAATATCAATCAATGCCGTGGTGGAATTTGAGACTTTTGTATGTAAATATCCTGGGAGGAATCTCTCTGAATACATGCAACTGACTAAGCGTAATTTCATCTCTTCAAACGTTTGGCGAACCTCAGGCCTCCCCTTTTCTGCAAATAAGACGAGGAAAGCTTTACAAATCTTTCATCCACAAGTATGTGAAATGTCATATCTTGTGGTTGTACTGATCTTTTTGAATATTTTGTCAGAGAAAAACAAGTTAAACAAGTAACAAAACTACCAAGAAAGATATCCCAAAATAAAACTTTATATAGTAGGTTATTGTAAGGCATCAGCATTGTACATATACGTGTACATTTTCTTCAATATTGTCGCGATGCCTTTTTATCGTGCTGGCCTTTGTATGGTATTCTGCTGATGTCTTGCAGACCTTTTGGGTGCGTTCGAGCGAGCTACTCGTGTTAAACACGAGTTTAATCATGAGCGCTCGAACGGCTTGAGTATGACCCGTGGACAGCGAGGGTATACTCCTGCACCCAAGTGTAATGCGCACGCAACCTACTCGGTAAACAGGAGTAACCGCGCGAACGTACCCTTTGACACCGGTTTCACTTCCAGTTCCTTTCGATATCTCCATTTTCAAAGACAAGTAATACACGAGCCAACACGCATAAGATAGAATGGTCATGACGACGCAACAAACATGTCGATGGGATCATTATTTAAAACTTCAAAGATGCATACGTAAAAATGGCTTGACGCGCGCAAATATTAGTCATGGAACAGCACAGCTCTTTGAGGGTGGACCAACGGCACGTAAGAAGATACGACAAATTTAACCCCGGTTATGAAGGTGAAAGGGTTGAGTTCGCTTAAAACTCTCACCAGATGTTCGAAGCCGTCTATTACATAACTTTTGCACATCGATGTGCAACGACAAATCTGTTCAATTATAAAGAAGAAACGACGGCAAGTGGAGATTCTTTGATTTGAAAGGACGAGGTTGCGAAACACTGTTATCACCTGACAACTTAGTTTCCCGATTTTAACTACATGAAAAAGGCTTATAGGCCTATCCCTCCGACCGCTCTCCACTCCAGCCCATTATTGTGCCTTTGACGGTGTGTTACTCTCAATCACACCCGTGGGAGGTGGTAATCCATCAGGTAACTTGGGAAATCGCATACATACACGTGCCGTCACTACAGACGGACACGTGCATGTAGTGTCGCGGAGTGTGCCTATCTTCTCGTCAGGGCCACCTGAAGAACTTAATGGATAGAAACACATACATGTATGTGTGTGCATGTATATGTATACTGAATTACGAGCAATTAAATGACACCGATGCACCTGCAGAACTCAACTTTCGGACACCAACCACGAGAAAGTCTGTTACAATATGTGTGTGAGCACATGCACACAGTAAACACCTTAGTCACCACGGGAAATATTTTCGTTTGGAAATACACAGCCACAATTATATATGAATTGACAGGTAAGTTTCTAGCAATTAATCTATTTTGTTTAATTTTATTTTGGCTTAGTTTGTCCCATTATTCAAATTGAAGGAAAGTTAACACTTAGATAAAACTGAAAGTCAGTGGGATAGAATGTATGTAAAATCATATTGAAATCGTTGGATTCAGGACTGTTAGGGATAAAATAATGTTGAAGTCGGAGGATTCAGGACTGTTAGGGCTATTATTGAAATTAGAGGATTTGGGAGTGTTAGGGATAGCTATCCCTAACACTCCCAATCCTCCAATTTCAATATGATTTCACATACACCCAAGGATAGATTAGATATGAATGTAAAGGTTAACCGGATGAAATTCAGCGATGCAAATTTCAAGAAGAAAAAAGCGTGGGAAGAAAGACCATAAAATAAGTTTCCACTATTTAGCATTACGGTAATAGAATAATTAGAAATGAAAAAAATCGGACAAAGATGAAACGAAAGAGTACTTCGAAAAATCTGAATCAGAACCAATGATAAAACTGAAATAATTTCAAAGCCAAATGATAATTACAAACGAAAACATTTAAAACAAAACAATTAACAAAAATATAAAAAGGCGCTGTTAGTAGTCGTTAAATGTAGGCCTGTTAAATCGAAAATTACCCCAAACTCGTACATTGAACTCTTCACATCAGTCCCTTTTGAACATGAAAATGTCTGAAAAAAAGTTATTCATTACTCGGGACAATTTACCCTATACCCTTCATGGTCGACAAGCAATAAATAACAGAGAAAGTGGTCCCTAAAAACCGACAGCTGTATACTCGTATCGGTACGCTTCAATGTATCGGTGCTTCAGGTGACGTCACAATTCCAAATGTATTTATTTCAATCAAAGAAGCAGAATTGTTCCTCCAACAGTAAGTGGATCTTGAAGCCTGGCCAAAGAATATTCCATAAGATTATTCCATATCTTTGTCAAGCATATAGCACAGGGTTTTTTTTAATTTAAATTCGTTTTACATATTAGTTTTTCCCGCTCCGAGTGATTTTTTTTTTTGCCCAACGTTAGCATACCAGTTGAATAGGTAAAACAAATCGAGACAAGTGTGCCCATATTTTAGGAGAAAATCGCGGTTGGGTTAGCTGTTTGCCCAACAGTTTGGCGATTCACCTGGAAGTCAGCGTTCGGTAAAAAATTGGCCAGCGTTTTTACAGTGTAAACCGTACGAAACGATCTCTTACAGAAGGAAGGACGCCCCCCCCCCGCCACTCAGGAAAGAGGTACGACCTCGGTCAAGGCTAGCACGCAGGAGACTCGATCTTCGTGTGATGAATTCAACTATAATCAAGAGGCTTTGAATTGGTTGTTCACGTAGAACTCATAGAGTGAGCCGCAGCAGACTTATCGTTCATTTGTATTCCAAATAATGTTCTCGAAAATTTAACGAGTCCACTCTGCCAAAGGTAATAGAGGTCTCGTTTATTGTCCGTATAGTTAGACCTTGAACAACGCAATTACCGTCGGAAAAGGTAAAGTTAACTCTTGAAAGCTGAGGTCATTACCGGTTTTGCATACACGGCAAAAATGGCTTTAATACGTAGTAAGTGCTACGAGCTGTCCTTTAATTGGGCAGCCACATCCTGGTAAATGTACCGTCATTATTGGCAATTGTTTTTCTCCCCGCCTATTTGAGGGGTTTATTGTACCAGGATAGTTGGATAGACTGTTCCTGGCCCCCTCCAATGCCTTTCCAACCCCAAGTAATCACGAGAGCAGGGATCAGACGGCCTGCCTTGCAGCTTTTCGCTTGTCTGCAGACCTCAGGTGTACTGTTTCAGCTGAGGCACAAAGGGCGAGGTTCTTTTTTACAGTCTAAATGCCATAACCAATATCATAGTTTCAATGTCGAAGCTATCGGCTCTCAGAAGATGTTGAGGTCCGCAAATGGCATATTAGGGAACGACCACCCAAATAGTAAAATATGAACACAAATAGCAATAGGTTAATGAGCTGTCGTACCACCGTTATTGACATTAAATGGCACCCATATGGCTGGCCTTTAATACATCTTGATCTCACTGCAACCCAAAGCGGCGGCATGATGGTAAAGAAATTTGAATGATGAATGCCTTTGTGAAGAATTTCCACTGTAACTTGAATGCCTCGCTAAGACGTTTTTAACAAGATGCTGCCCATACAGGACACGTCCCTTCCCGGCAGCTCGCTTCATACATCATTTGTTTGGCAACTTTACACATCGGAAGGATTTTGAGTTTTTATGATTAGTTTTACAAAAGACGACCACTGAAATATATTTGTTACTATTTTTGAGATTAAAAATAGAGTTTTAGTTCCTCAAATGTTCACTTCCAAATCCTGTCCTTTGAATTAAAATAATTTGTTTCATCTGTTTAACTCCTTTGGGTCTAAGTAAAGTTCTTAATCTAGCCAATCTAGGCAAGTATGAAAGGTTAAGTAAAAGGGAGCATAACTGGTAGTCGTGCTCCAACACTTGCGTCGCACAAATTGTGACGAGTTAAGGCGGCTTTCCATCTGCACGTTTTTTTGAGCAATTTCGACGGATACGCAGCGCATGGCGCAAGTATTGACGCACATATGGAAAAGCGCCTTTAACCCGTATTGCATTATTTTCGGGGTTTATTTTCAGTCTCAGAACTAGTCTTGCAACTGCTGATGCACTCGCTAAGTAGGACGAGCACCGCAGCATAAACCAGCGAGACGTATAGGCCTTTATAATTTCTCCACAGCCGCCCTCAAAATTCTTTGGTGCGCACCGTTCGAGATCATACAAACTTAGGGCCTGTTCACAAAGTTTCACATGGTTCGGGATCAGTGGACCTAAGGCTAGTTGGCGCCATCCGTCAGGTGAGTTCTAATGTCACGACGCATCGCTGATGGCGAGCTGGATCTGCGCTAATCAACCAGGCTCTTGAACTTTACTTTTAGACTTGTTCTTGTCCATTAGTATAACGATCAATTACCCTGTTGATCGTCACACTAATGACATCTTTAACGACGGTTTTATTCATCCAGTCTCTCAAAAAGCAGAAAGTAACATCGCTATTTCCCAGATCATGCTTTGGTCGGCAAGTAGCTTCACATCCTCAAACATTCCTCTGTGCATCAAACTGTCACCAAAACCCGCCAATGGAAAACCTTTGACCACAGCCCAACCAGAATCGAGTGAGCGACGTTAGCAAGTGAAGAAGCTTCTTGAAGGGGCTTTCATGTGTTACTATTTACTTAAACCTTTAGCGCTAAGCGGCTCAGCTGTCGTCTGGTGAACTATCTTACTAGTGCTAAGTCATACGATAACGAACTGCCAATCGGACGGGTGACAATTTCACAACAGCACATGGGTAAAAATGGATAACAACGACTTGTAACACCTGGAACATCTGTTAGCAAGCATTCAGAGGGGATCCTCCACACTGCAATTCAGCTGAAGTCGACACTCAGTATTTTTTGAGAGCCATCCTTCAAAGACACTCAGGCAATGGCAAAACTGAGCATCGGTCTTAACGTTTTTAGACTCGCGATATTTTGGGGATTGGTTGCCTCAGTTAATGGACAGCAAAGTTACTCCCATCGAAAGATATTTCGTGCTGCAGAAAATCGTGCTCTCCAAGGGTTTGTGTACGCAAACAAAACTGTGCATTCTCGTGTCATCTGTGGACGGGAATGCAGCATGGACGGCAGTTGCAAGTCCTTCAACTTCAACAACTGTGACAAAATATGCGGGTTGAGCCTGTCCACAAGACGAGAGCACCCTGAACACTTCGCTGAAACTCGATGGAGCGTGTACTTTGATAAAGATGAAGACACACCTCTCCACTCCTTATCGAGTGGAGTTACCTCACAGGGTCGCCTCAGGAGCTGCAAGACGCTCTTGGATGCCGATTGTCGTTTTTCTTCAAGCGGTGTCTACACCGTTCACCCCAAGGGTTTTGGCGACGACGGACTTCGCGTGTACTGCGATATGGAAACGGACGGCGGAGGATGGATCGTGTTCCAGAGTCGTCTGGATGGCAGCGTTGATTTCGACCGCCCCTGGGCCGATTACCAGTCCGGCTTCGGTGATCTGTGGGGAGAGTTCTGGCTGGGCAACGACTACTTGGTGGAACTGACGTCTCCCGACCCCAACGAGCAGTGGGAGCTACGAGTTGACTTATGGGACTGGGAAGACAACACGGCGTGGGCCAAGTACTCTCACTTCCAGATATCTTCAGGTGAATACATGCTGAGCTACGACCAATATGACGCCAACAGCACTGCCGGCAAAGACTCACTGAGACTGCACAATCGGCAGAACTTTTCGACAAGAGATCATGAAAATGATAACCATCCGCATCAAAACTGTGCAAAAAACTATCGATCAGGCTGGTGGTTTAATTACTGTTTAAGGTGTAATTTGAACGGTTTCTACTACCAAGAAGGGGCCACTGTGGGTGACGACCGAGGGGTGTATTGGCATAATTGGAAAAATGATTTTGCTTACTCCTTGAAAAAATGCAACATGAAAATCCGTGAAATGGAGTAAAGAATGAAACACGTGCTATTTCTGATATGTGTTAATCACCTTTGCATGTTCACAAAGCGATTTAAAACAGTTGAATCTCCTCATAATTTGTGCTTATCTACAGATAAAACAGTTAATGTTGAATTTTAAACGAAAATTTAAATAGATATAATTCTTTGATCCCGCACTGCTGTGGAATAACTTTACAAACTAGAATATTCTCTTAAGCATTATATTATTGATTGTTTAAATGGGGAGTATACCTTCTCCGTCTTGAAATATCATCATGTTGTGTGCAAACAGTTTGGAGAGGCAACTCCTCAAGTTTGCTCCATCGAACTTACAGCAAAATGATTCTACTGTGCACCTGAATGATGTACATGTACTGTTACACAACCCCATTTTACTTTGCTCTGTGCAAAGAGGCAATTAAGCTTTTGTGTGACAGCTGAAACGAGTGTTTTGCTCGAAAAACGGGAAATGAAAACGGTGCAGTAGAATCTACATTGGGTTTATTTTCCTGTGGAAAACATATACTGCTGAAAATGTTAAACAATTTAATATAGTTAGATGTACACTGTAAAAATAGTATTACTTGTTGTTGTGGATGAAGTAGCTCGAAATTTGAAATAGGTGGGGTTTTTTTCAAGACAGGACAAGATTAGTGTTAAACAAAGTTGGGGAACGTTCTGATCTGTATGTAGCATTTTGCTATAATTGATTCTATCTTCAAAACTAAGAGAAGAGCCTCATCACTTTATGCAATATGGAGAGTTATCAGTTACTCCTTGTTCTTTGCAAAAGTTCGGAAAAGTTTTTAAAAAGCTTGCTCATTCACCTGAAAAAAAGAGACATATTCAGTGGTGGGTGCATTGTGATACGGCTGCCTGGTTTATTAAGGGCAAACCTTTAATTTGTTGCATTGTGAGCTGCGCACATGCTTGAATGCCCGTCTATTTGCCAAGCATAACATGAATTTTTGTCTTGCGCGCCTTGCGAGCAATTATCGGATTCCATGATATTGCTGAAGGAATCATTCTGTTTGAAATTTGGACTTGTGTACACAAAAATAACACAGTCTTTCCATGTTGGCTTTAGAGATCACTTTAAACTAGCAAAAAAGTCAAGGTTTGAGTGCAAGGGTTTTCAATGGCAGATGTTAGCGATTGAAGCAGGAAATTACACCATGCAGTCAGTAGACGCTACACACTCTCGGAACCTGTATGCTTTAAATGAAACAAGCAGTGGGTATTCATCTCGACTTGTTTTCGTCCATATTGCTGTGTTACAGCAATGCAAACAAGATCTGAATGTCTGAATGCTTGTTTTCATTGAAAGTGAACAGAGAGTGGTCGTTTTTGGAATTCTTAGAAAATATTTTCATCCACGTATATGTATGCACGAGGTGCCATTTTGATGTCATACGAAGCCGCTCCTTGTCACGAGAGCATTTAACAATAGTACAAAAATCACTCCTTAAAATCACCCACAAATTTTTTTTGGAATAAACGTCGACCCCCACAAGCTGTTTAACATGAAAACCAAGTATAAAGCAGAACCTACTCCAAGAAAACGTAGAAAAGTGTGACGCATTGTACATGGAGACACCCCTGTTTTGTCTTGAATGACATCATGCTTTGGCTCAAGAATATGAATGTTTTCATTAGCATAAATCCAAACTTGCTGCTACAAAGGAGGCAGAGAGACACTGTAAATCTTTGCCAGTGCTACGTGTATTTAAGTCATAAAAATCACATGACATGGTTTCTTTAACGTTCACGGCGGAGTGCAAATCAATCTGCTCACCAAAGGTGGGCTAATAATCCTTTATCTGATTGGTTCTTGGTTTTTGAAACAAAAAAATCACACCCAGTGGTTTGATGCATTGAGATTTTAGGGGAGCATTATTGGGGGTCGATTGGGAAATAGCACATTCCTGAATGCCGCCGAAAATAGGAAAAATCAGTCAAAATGAAAGTGTGGGACGCTAAAATGCCCAAACTGTTGTGTTTCGAATGTGTTGCCATCAGGATTTGTGGGCTGGGCTTGTTCAACCATTTTCACCCAGATTGGAGTTGTCGAATTGGAAAATTTTCATGTCATGAAGACACCATTTAAGTATGTTTCATAGCATGGCCTGGGGCAATAATGATTAATTATAACAATAATAGCTGATTCTTACATAGCGCACATATCCATCACAACTGATGCTGAAGGCGCAGTATTATCATTATCCCTGCACATTGGGCTCACAGCAACTGAACGTTCCTGAAACCATCTCAGCTCCCTGGGAAGTATACGAGCTGATGCTGCCCTATCAGGCGCACACGGCTAACAACCAAATCTGCCCTAACAGGTATACCCATTTATTCCTGGGTGGAGAGAGGCACATGGGGGTAAAGTGACTTGCCCAAGGTCGCAACATGGTGCCACCAGCTGGATTCGAACCCCCGACCCAATGATCAGAAGCTACAAACCCTAACCACTAGGCCATATGCCCCCATTGACAGAAGAAAGACGACAGAATTTCGCAAGGAATCGTAATATCTGTTTTGGATTGAAATAACGAATGTAGCCGCTGTTTTACTTGTACAAGTGCAGTTATCAACCATAATTGGTTACAAAGGCCAGTGATGTTGAATAAAATGATTGATGAGAACCAACACAGGCTTTTTTTGTTTGTACTTTGTAACTTTTGTTTGTAACTTTTTTTCAGAAGACCACCCATATGTTTTGTACACAGTTGTCAATCGGGGACCCTTTGTCAATCGGGGACCTTATTGTCCTCTATTGTGCAAGGTCCCCAATTGAATGCAGAAACAAACTCACATACACCCAAACACCTCGCAAAGAGGTAAGCCACCTTCCTGGCAAAGTCCATGTACTGTTTCGCTACGCTTCTCACTCTCAAAGCCGTCTGTTCTTGCAGTGCTCACATTAATTAAACAACCAATAATTGACGATAATGAAGATAATTTTACCCTCGTTTTGTTTTGAAAGCAACTTTATGGTAACAATGCCAAAACTGTAATACATACAAAATAGAATATGATAACTTTTTAAAAGCCTTATCAAACTTATTGCAAATAATAATAAGGGGACCTTGCTCCTCAATCCGAGGTGGTCTTTCGGGCTTATCCTGGTCCACAAAAACTATCATAATGGTCCAGTTTGACAACTCAGGCATATACTCGTCACGTGTTCCATGACCGTTGATTTGGTCGTTAGACTATTCCTTCCCCGCCTCCCAACTTATAATTACAGCAATATAGCTTTTACTCGGAAGAGACATCAACATTTTCCTCGAGGGGAACTTCCTGATCACAAACCAGCTGCTTCGAGACTGCTTTCGTGAGGTAATTATCTACGTCTATGGATTGCTTGTTCTGGAAGTCATATAAAGCTGCAAGAGTTGGGACCTATGCATCGCTCAGAAACGAGTGGTCCGGCATCGACAAGGAGCTTCAGAAATACCCGAGACGCCTGAAATGTACTTTGTGAAGTTCGGCATACTCTTTTCTGTAAAATGGAGAAATAACCCAACTAACAAACAGTAGTATGAATGAACGATTTCTTATATTACTGAGATGTCTTTCATTTTTTGTTTATTTAAGTTTGAAAAAAAAAACTGACAGAGTTCATTTCACGTACTTTGCTTTTGAGCGTTGCACTGTTACATTTTCTCTCCCTCTTCGGGCCGATTTAAAATGAAATCCCACGTAACGAAATAAGTAAAAATACGAAAGCTGTGATAGTAGACTAATGGGAAGGAATACGAGGATTTATTTTAAACAATTTATTTTTAGGAGAAGTGGAACTCTGTTGTGAGTTTCCATCTACTCAAACGTTTTAGGTTAATTCCTCAAACACTATCGCATACATGGTATAGATGAGACCAGTAGGCCTAGTGGTTTGACATTCGACGATGCATTTTTTACTGAATGATCTGATTGCATTTGAAGTCTGTGACGTTGATCACACTGCAGCCAATGAAAGTCTGGTACAGGTGGAATGAAGCGATAGAGTATGGGTGCACGGATGTACATCGTGAGCAACTCTGCATCATGTGGGAAACAAATACAAGAATCCATGGTTAGCTTCATATAAATGCAAGTCATTTCCCAAGAGACTACGTATAATTAGTCGATTTGAGATTAATACCAGGGGAGGCAAGTCGATGAAAACCAACTCTTAATGATGGTGAAATCAAATGCTGTAATGATGTTTGTGTGATTCCGAGGAAGATACGGTGAATCCTGAAGACCATCGAACTGAGTCAATGCCATTCTTAAACCATCATAATAGGCAGAGAGCTTAAGATGGAACATACCGTACCTGCGAACGTGTGTAATATTCAGTGACAGGTTATTATATGTCATTTTGCACGTACGATGGTCTAATTAGCCATACCAAGGACTTTCAGGAGGTGTACACGTTTTTAAGGATTTCAAAACCTTCATAATTGTCAGTTGGCTGGCGTTCCGGAGCGGCGCTCGCAGCTGGCTGAATAACCGTGAACATGTTTACGGCTTGGAAGATGTGGCTTCTTTTAAGCCTCGCGTTTGGACTCCTCGGAAGAGCACCAGCCACAGGTAAGTGCTTCCCAGATACTGACATGGAATATGTCCAGGTTTGGGAGTAGTGGGTGGGGTACAATGACGTGATATTTTAGGAATGCAGTGCCCCGACCTGCATTCATTGATTCCTCTGCAAAATTTTAAAAATTTGGCAATACCGTAGAAGCAAGCAAGTTGGCATGACTTTCGTATCAATACATTTCCAATCAGATGATATTTAACGTACTGGAAGGTTACCATTGTAGATAAGACAAAAATATATCCATACTTTTGTGTCACTTGTTATTTTTCGTTAATGAAAACTCTTCTTTTTTTGCATTTCATAGTCACAAGTCGTCAAATTGTTCCTTTAAAGGATGCTTTTATCATAGGCCTATGGCAAAGTGGTGATTCAGACTTAAAAACAAATTTTATAATACGAACGTTTGTGTAGGTAACTAGGCCTGTCTTATAGTGGCGTTGATTAAAACGCATGTTTTGATTGCTACAGGGAGACTCCTTTTTTATTTCTTTTGCTGGTTTTGTAATTAACACCTTAAAGAATAACTTTCCGTGTCCTCTCTCGAACATTTGATCGATTATTTATTTCATTGCAAGTCTTGAGACTTCCAAAACACTAACATAACACAAGACAAGAGTATCTGAATGTTTTAACTCGAAGGAGAATTTAAATGAATGATCGAAACGCCAATGGAAGCAAAAACGCAGCAGCAAAATGGACTAGTAGGCCCCTATACGCTATAAATGCAACTTAACGACCGAAATATGTAGACGTCATTAAGTGCCAAACTGGGATGATAAAATCTGGGGAAAGTGTGTTACGAAGTATTCCCAAATCGACTCTTATTTCCTCATATACGCATTTTTCTTTCAGTTTGACCTTCGTGGGACAAACATCATGTTTTGCAGCGAGGAAACAAAGGCTCTGTTTTCAGCAGAAACACTTGGTTTCTGATGCCAATTAAATCTTCAGTAATTGACCTCAAGAGAGCTTGGGGGTGTTTGTTGACTTCAGAAGCGGCTCATTAGAACAAAATACTGCCGTTGCAAAATACGTCCGACTGATAATTACGAACTCCAAGGGATCAGTAGGGGGAATTAATTTCCGGTAAATTCAATACTCATTAGGCCTAGGATCACGCGACACGCGTTACACAGCAATCTAAAAAGGAATGGGTTTTGTGGTGAAGGCTGGTAAGTGATTTTGCAATGCCTGTGCTGGTATACGGGTACCTACTTTCATAGGCGAATGCGAAACAAAGCAAACTTTTACGTCACGAAAGTCTTGCAGTGAATTTCAAAAGTTTGAAATTTGTTCAACTTTTACGAATCCATAGACTTGACTCAAGTCGGAATCTTCCGTGAGGCCTGTGTTTATGCTTTGGATATGGAGGCCGCGTCGATACTTGCTTAGCTCCCTCTAGTGTGCTGTAAGTTCAAAATTCCGCTGTTGTTGTACGCAACAAATCAGCTCATCTACCAAAGCAGGTAGCAGCCAATCAAAATGCTGGACTTCTTGTTACATCGTTCATACTTCTATTATAATGAACGAGTCTACAAGTCTGACTTCTTTGATCGAACTATGCAAGATCACGTCGTTCATTAATCAGTTACTACATAGCGTATATACCACTGACGGGGGTCTGATTGGCTTGTCTGTCAAGTCGGACTTGTTACTGGGCGTATGACACGCGCGGAAAAGATATCAAATGAGGGTGCCATATAAGAAGCTATGCAAGCGGCTGCTGCCGAGCGCAACGACCGTTAAGTTACTCTGTTTTACCCTTTTCCCACTACAACTTAACCCAGGGATTTGCTGCCCCGGGTTAAGATTTTTTTTTTACCCCAGGGTTCGTTAAACCCGAGTTCTGTTCTAACTACTCTGTGCCAGGAATGTCTGCCTGGATCCTACTTGAAGTCGGGACTGATAAGACGTCACATACGCCTGATCGCGTTTGTATTCGCTTTCGCATCAAGTGGGAATAAGCTTTTTGCGAGTTAAACTTGAATAAAATCTGGTACACTGAGTTCCTTAATTTCAAGAGAACATAACAATTTGACTCCTACTAGTGACACTTTTGCTGTACCTCGTGATTCGGGGCAAGCTTTTGCTTGGATCATGGAAGAAGGACACAGAAGACCAGTTACAACTCTCACACATCAAAGTGCTCGATGATCATCGCCGCCCGGTCAGACGAACAAAAGTAAACATTCCAAAAATGACTAATTACTGCCTGCGGCTTAGCCAGACAAGTGGGGCCAGTAATATCTTAGCAATATTTGTGGTGTTTTCGTTGCAATTAATTACAACTCGTCGCAATGACCCGGAAAAAGAAAAAAAACAAATCTAATATAAGATTTACTTTGCTGTCGTAAACAGTTTTTTCAGAGAATTTGATGAACTTTTCCATTATTCATGCAATGTTTGTAATTTTATTTGTCACTCCAAACCATAATTTTTCAAAGTCTTTGTACAAATTTGGCTAAGACTGGCCAACATGTTTACCACCACAGGACAATTAAGTTCACGAGAAACAGCACGCGCTGTATCACAATGAGTGATCATGACATCTCATAACATACCTTTTGTATAAATTCCGTGATAAAAATGCTTCAAATAAAACACAAAATCGTATAAACAACATGGCTATTTATTCTCAAAATAAGTCCAGAAGAAAGCGTTCGATAAGGGCAATGATGGTATTTAAAAACTTTGGGTACACAGCCCAATAGAAGCTACTGCGCAAGCATTAAATTTGATGTTGTCAGGTCATACGAAGCACCAATGATTGCATGAATTCAACTGCAGCAGTACACAACGTTTTAAGGATGCAGATTACCAGCGAAAGATTGCGGCGATTACCAAGGGGTATGTATAAAGGGGGCTTATGGTTGTGAAACAGATGGTGCATGCAGCAAGCACTCGCTGCGCTCTGGATTACAATCCAAGTTTGGTGTATCAGATACGGCACTGGATTGGTTTCGTTCATATTTATCTGGAGTCATTATCATTTCATTATCAGAACCCGAGAGTAAAATGACGGTAACAAAGTAAAGGTTTTGTAAATTTATTGTCAGTGTACATTAGAATGATTTAAAATTTGTGATAAACTTTATCTAAATATTTGAAGCCACGTCTAAAAAAACCCGAAAGTGAGGCTTAGAACCCCCCCAAAAAACCCTAGCAACCACCCTATATTTCACAGATTAAATTCAGGGAACACAATAGAAAATGGCTTCTGGGAATTAGGAGCCATTACTACGATGGTGCCTCGGATCATTAGTCTGCCATCAGCTGATAATAGCTAATGTTTCAAAGATTATAACTTAAAAAATGTTGGGCATTTTTTTTACCCAGCGTTAGCCTGGGGACCAGGTGAATTGCCTAACTGTTGGGCAAAGAGATTACCCAACTTTCTCCTAAAATAAGGGCAAACCTTTCTCATTTTACGCAACGGTTGTAGAAAATGTTATTGTTAAAACCTTTTTTACCCAGCATTTTGATCTTCTGCCTAACAGTTAAGCGATTCACCTGCAGCTGGTACCTAACGTTGGGCAAAAAAAATGCCCAGGGTTTTTCACAGTGTGCTGAAACATACGTGTGGCAACTGGCCACAAAATTCATGTTTCCCACGTTTTTGTTCATTCTTGTTTAAATTTCTCTTTCCTCGAAACAAAACATATAGGGTATAGTGAGTACCCCATTCGACTTGTACAAGGCTCCTCTCCGACAGAGGGACGGGTTGAGATCCTCTTCAACGACCATTGGGGGACTGTTGGCAGTAACGGTTGGGACCCCGCCGATGCCAGCGTGGTGTGTCGACAACTTGGGTTCTACGGGCGCAACGCGTCGGTTGGGCGTGCTTACTTCGGTAGGGGTAGCGGCTCTGTTCTGATGTCCAATGTTCGCTGCAGTGGCAGTGAAAGTCACCTCCATGAGTGCCCGTTCGACGGTTGGGGTGCTGGATCAAATCACGTGCTGGACGCGGGTGTTGTCTGTCAGATAGGTGAGATTGTAATTGATTATATTGTTTTGTAGGCTTACCCGTAGATAAGCCAGCGAGACCCACTCCTGCATGGCTGCCCAGGCGTAGGCCTATCCCTTGCTGACGGCCGTCCAAACAGGTAACAGTCATGCAGTGATGTAATAAGTTTTTTTGTTGGGGGGGGGAGGTTGGGATTCCCCCCCAAAAAATAAACACGTTTAAAAAGGAAAATGTCGATTGAAAACGATAGTCCAGGTTTTTTGTTTTGTTTCATCTGTTAAAAAATCTCGTCTCAATCCAAGGAAAGTCAAAAAGCCTGATGAGAGGTCTGTCCCTTCTAGATACGCCATTGGTAGTGTATGAATGGGGCATGCAGGTTTTGTGACTAAGATGGAAAGCTTGTGGTAAACACCGTGCAATATCTCTTTTTGAGTCTGTGTGGTTCTGATAAGAACCGGAGAGGCTCAACGTTTCGGACAGTGTGCTCTGTCTGTCGTCAGGAGACTGAAGAGATGCCGACAGGGAGTGGGGCTTATATATATGCTGGATGGAGGTACTGGAGTGTGACGGATCCTGCTGTGTAGTCAGGTGGAACAGTGGATCCTTCTGGGAACTGATGCATGTCAGTTGGTCATGGGCTGTGGTGGGGGAAGGTTGCCTGGGTATAGGAGACCCATGGGTGGGGGGGGGCTAGGGTATAGAGGACCCATCTGACCGGGAGGTGAGCAGGTGCTGCCAGATGT